TAACATTTGAATATATATATATACACACACACACACATACATATATATATATATATGTTGTGTGTATATATATATGTATATATATATGTGTGTGTGTGTGTGTATACATATATATATATATATGTGTGTGTGTGTATACACATATATGTGTGTGTGTGTGTGTATATATATATATATATATGTGTGTGTGTGTATACATATATATATGTGTGTGTGTGTGTGTGTGTGTGTGTGTGTATATATATATATATATATATATACATTTCATTAAATAATATAGATATATTATGTCTATTTATTTTTAGTTCTTTAATTATATTCTTGATGTTAAGTTGAAATTTGTTGTAACCTAGAGAAGGCTACTGAATAGAATAATCATATAAGGTTGGTAATGAATGATAATACTTAGGGCAAGAACAGCACATATAAGATTCACCAGCGGTACATAGAAGAAGTAGTCAAGAAATGAGTCAAGTGAATTCCACAATGAATCTCAACTGCAGACCAACATACAGTATTTACTACTGTATTTATGTGAATGAGAACATATCCATTATCATCCATAGGTATGCTACAACAAAATTAATCAAGGAAGGTGTTGTGCTTCTTCTTAACCCAAGTACTTTTGATCTCCTCTGAGATCATCGTCAGGGGTGAATTATAAAAACAAACTTAATGTTATTATAATCATTGTGATGATGATTTTTGTAAACATGCATTCTTTTAAATGTGCTCTGTTATAATTATAATGATTTTAAAATTAATTGTTGTGGTTATGATGTTTTGTAAACAAGCATTCTCAATGCAAGGGGGATAACCAGAGATCGTAAATTGCAACATGGTGTTAATTTTCCTGTATTGTGAAGGTGGACAGGAATGTGTCTTTAAATGTTGTTCAATAGAACTTGTATCTGACAAAAGGAGCATAAGACATCTTAATTATGTTGTTGTAGTCAAGCCAATGTATGTACTGACATTTTTTTTTTGTCAGAGATACAATCTCCCAAAGGACATTTAATCTGTCATACAATGTTGTTCTTTTGCAAGCAGTTTAAATGTCCTTTGGGAGATTGTATCCATATTTTGATAACAAAACATCTACCAAAAAAGGTGTAATATTAGCATTGTTCTGATATAGAGAAATTCATATATATATATATATAAGTAGGCATCCATTTATCTTGCAAGAAAAGCTAGTTCCCTGTTTAGTGAAAATTCAGTCCTTTGGTGGTGGGAATAGAGTGACCTCTCCAGGATGCAGGCCTATACAATGGTATATTGAGGCCATATGCTGCCCAGACTATATGGCTCCACTCTTGGCCATACTAACAAGACCCAAAGGAATACAGAATTTTATATTTGAGGCCAGATTGGTAGCAGGAGTTGCTAAAAAGTTGTCAGTGTTCAAGGCTACTGTCAGGATTTACTTCCATAGCTTTTTCTGTGATTGGATATGACTGGAAAGCAGCAGAGGCTTAAAATCAGGATTTTCCTTCCCCTAGATAGACTGTTTTCCTGGGCTGTCAAGCACCATCTGCCTGAAGCTTCTGACTATCAGGTGCCAGTTGTTCATATTTGCTTATTCTTTGGTTTGGAGATGGGCTTAGTTGTCAGAGGCTATTTAAGACACATGTCATGCAAGCATTTTATAGACAGTGGGAACTTATCCCCACTATAACCCCCATAACATACAAACTAGTCTTAACCAGGATTTGAACCTAGTTTACTGATTACATTTCCTATATTGCTAACCATTATGCAACCAATTACTGACCTGAAGCTATCTGTAGCTTTTGTTTTTATTAAGTAATTTTAAGCACATTTCTTTACATTCTCTATCCTCTCAAATGCATTTCTGCTATGTCTTAAAATAGACCAAATAATGCTTTGTAACCTATTTAATTTCTATAGCATCTTCTCATTCACAAAATTCCCAGAGATGTTCACTTCCATCTTGAAGCAAAAGAATCCGTGCATTACCAAGATAAGGATTACGGTTGAACTATTATGAATACTTTCTTTAAGAAATATAATCTTATAGGATGTAAATTGCAATAAGCTCATAAAGGATTCTTCCATATTCTTATTTTAGAACAAATGCAGTTTTTTTTTTCCTTTTTTTGAATGAAAATTTCCTTATTCAGTCTTGTAGAAAGTTGAGATGTTGATGAGAAAAGGATATGAAAGGATAAGCCAAAGGGGAGACAACCAAAGAAAAAGAACATTGAAGCAATTTGGTCAAGTCTGGCAAAGCATAAAAAGACATCACGGTTTGTACAGAACAACTGATGCTTGTTTAATTCATAGAGTACCATGCATCATGCTTGGCTAGGTTGCATTTCGTATGAAAAAATCTTCTCAGACATACAACATGACTATTAAACTAATAATGTTACATCTAAATGCTTATTCTATATATTGAAACTATTACAGCAACCAGTGTATAACTTAAGTGATTTCAAGTGTGAAAACAGTGTATGTACAAATTTATAGCTCTTGGTTATTGAAGATTTTACAAGGAAATAAAAGCATTGATAGAAGGGGAACAGCCAAATATGAATGTTCTTTAAAATGATCAGCATCCAATGTTTTTGGAACAGTCAAAATTTGGAAGTTTGAAGAAAAAAGAAGGTAATAGCAGAAAAATAAAATATCTAAAGAATTAGTGAGAAGACAGACAAAAAAGGAAGGGAGAAAGAAAGAAAAAGAGGAGATGAGAAGAAAACAGGAAAAATAACAACAGAGAGAGAGTGAGGTTGGGAAGAATAGGAGACAGGGAAAGAAAACAGAGAAAGGAATAAGAGAGTGATGAAGAAAAGAGAAAAAAGAGGAAAGAAACAGGGAACAAAAATATACAGGGAAAAGAAAACCAAAAAAGACACAGGGAAAGAAAAGGGAGACAGGGAAAGAAAAGAAAAAAAATGGAAATATAGAAAAAAAAATGGGAGACAGAACAAAAGAAAGGGAAAGAAAAAGGAGACAGGGAAAGAAAAAGGAAACAGGGAAAGAAAAAGGAAACAGGGAAAGAAAAATGGAGAGATAAAGAAAAAAGGACAGGGGAAAAAAAGGGAGAAAGAAAAGAAAATCATGGAAATATAGAAAGAAAAGGAAAATGGGAGACAGAAAGAGGGAAAGAGAGAAAGGGAAAGGGATAAAAGGAAAGAAAAGGAAAAGAAGGGAGAAAGTGAAAAAAATAAGAGAGAAACAAAGAAAAAGGAACAGGGGAAAAAGAGAGAAAGCAAAAAAAGGAAAATAGGAGTAGAAAGAGGGGAAGGGAGACAGGGAAAGAAGGAAAAGAAAAGGGAGACAGAGAAAGAAAAGGATGAAATGAAAACAGGAAAAAAGAGAGACATAGGAAGAAAAGGAAGACAGGGAAAGAAGGGAGAAAGTGAAATAAAAGGGAAAGAAAAAAGGAGACAGGAAAAAAAGGGAGAGATAAAGAAAAAGGAAGGAAAATGTAAATGTGTTAAGAAGTCTAACCAATCTAGCACTTAAATCAGAGTTTTCCAAACTTTTTATATTGGCAATATACTTTTGAAAAATAAACCTTTTTTTTCTGCAACACATTATACAAGCTTTATAGGGCAAGCCAAATATGTAATACAAAATGTATATAAAAAGAAATAATTCAATGAAGAATGAGTTAACAATTACAGAATGAATAATAGGTAATAAATTACTAACACTAAAGTGTTATGACAAACCAATTTAGAAGAATCTGCCTTAAACTATTTACATAATTATAAGTCTCCTGTTCAACAAGACAAATAAGTTTAAATATTCATATACTGTCAGTTATAATATTTGATTATGGATTTTACAATCACAAGGTTGATTATAGTTTTATAATGGATGAAAGGTGTTGGTCTGCACAAGTGAACCCAAACATGTCAATTGAAAACAGTTTATATTCTGAGCTACAAGTAGCACACACACACATATATATATATATATATATATATATATATATATATATATATATGTGTGTGTGTGTGTGTGTGTAAAAAAAACATGGTGTAGATAAGTTTTGAAATTAATTCCAATGCAGTAAAAAAAAAAAATGCCCATACCTAGCGACAAGCAGTAAGATTCAAAAACATCCAAGTATCCAAATGCTTCAGCTTGGAAAGACCTGATTCCATCAAATTCTTTAGACTTGCTGCAAAGAGACATTCCAAAAAATGGAGACAGTAGAGGTAGCACGTGTCAATAGCAGCTTCCTGTTGTCATGGACACTATAGCTTTGTCATCTCTGGTGGAATTTAAGGATCGAGTTAGGTAGAGGAAAGTAGCTGTGGGTGAAGAGGGAGGTACTGTGGAATGCTGGGAAAAATGCTTAAATTTTTAAGGAAATTAAAAAGAAAGGCAGGGAAAAAAGATTAAATAATACTATTTTTTTTCACACTAATAAAATAAGATTGTGAAATTCTTCTACTTGAAACCACTTTTAAGTACCTGCAATGATTCAACAGAGAGGGGGAAATCAAAACGGAAGAATCTTGGATAAGTCATCTTCACGAAAGAAGAGTCGGAGTACAAGAGAAAGAAAGAGGAATTACAAAGGAGAGAGAAAGTTATAGAGAAAGAGGGAAGGTGAAAAAGGGAAAAAGAGAGAAGGAGCAAAAGAGATAGAAAAGATTACAAGAGAAAGAGACAGAAAAAGAGTACAAGAGAAAGAAAGAGAAAGAATAGGATTACAAAAGAAAGAAAAAGAGTACAAGAGAAAGAGAGATAAAAAGAGTACAAGAGTAAGAGACACGAGTAAAATAAAGAGAAAGAGAGAGAAGTATGATAAAGAGAAAAAGAAAGTGAAAAGAAGTACAATAAAGAGAAAGTGAGGCAAAGAAGAAGAGAAAGAGTGCGAGAGTACAAGTGAGAGAAAGTATATAAGAGAAAGTGAGAGGGAGAGAAAGAAGTTAAAAAATAACAACAAAGGAAACAAAGTGAAAAAAAAAGTGAGAAAAGCAAGAATGAATTAAAAAGGTAAAAGAAAAGTGGCATTAATAATAAGGAAAAGAAAGGTAAGTACCATTTACAACAATAAAAAAAATTGACGACCAAAGAGCACAATGAGAAAAGTCAGTAAGTAAAAAGAAACTAGGGAGAAAAGTACGAAAAATGAAAGAAAAAAGAGAAAGAGAAAATAATAAGAGTGGGAATGATAGAATGAGAGGAGAAGAGAAAGAAAAGGTGGAAAAAGAAAAGGAGAAAAGAGAAAGTGAGAAATAAAAAGGAAAGAGAAACATGAAAAAATGAGAGAGAGATGGAATGGAGAGAAAGAGAAATAGAAAATAAAGTGAGAAAGAAAACTAAAAATGAGAAAGGTGGAGAAATGGAAAGGGGGAAGAGAGGAATATGGTGAAATATAAAGGAGATAGAAGGAAATAGAAAGATTTTATGCATACATATTTATGTGCGTGTATATGTGTGACTGAGAGAGGAGGAAGGAATGCAAAGGTGAGAGGAGGAAACAAAAGAAATAGAGATAAACTGAAAGGAGACAGGAAGAGAGAGTGGGAGAAATATAAAGGGAAGAGAGAAAGCAGGAGAGAGAGAAAGGAAGGATAGAAAGCAAGATAAAAAGAAAGGGAAGAGAGAAGAGGGAAAAGAAAGGAAGAGGAAAAGGGAAATAGAAAGGAGCAATAAATAAGAAAAGAGGAGGAGAAAAATAAACAGAAGAAAATGAAATGAGAAAGAAAGAGAGAGAGAGGGAGAGAGAGAAAGAGAGAGATTCTGAAGGAAAATCAAAAAATGGGGCAAATATATATCTTCAGAACAAATTAAGAAATGATAGAGGGAAGATAAGGGAGAGAAGCAGGAAAAGGATGAAAGTGAAAGAAAGAAAAAAGTAACAGAGAAGATGAGAGAGATGAGATGTTGAGTGAAAACAGAAACAGCTGTAAGTTGTTATCAATTTTCCATGTAATGAGAGTTGAAACAGAAAAGACTTTTTGCTTTGCTTTCACAGCATCTATGCAATAGCACCTCCCCAACCTGCATCTCATCTGTTAGTAATATCAAGTGACACTAAGCAATACCAATGACTAATGTAATTAATTAAGCTACATGTTCCTAATATTATCTTTCTAACTTTGTTGTTCTTCGGAGTATAATTGTTTTTGTTTCTTTGGGCATCTTTTATGAATTTAAGGATCACAATGTCTATCATGAGTAATTTCTCTTGAACATAGACATCTACAGATTTCCCAGTTTTCACTTAACTAAGTTAAATAAAGTTTGGTAAGGATATTAGAATAATCCAGAACTTATACTGTGAGCAAACCAGCAGCATATATTCTTTTGACTGATTGATTTGTTTTTGTTATGGCTTATCAACCCATTTCAAGTTATTTAAAACCAGAAAACATCTAAAGATTGTAATAATTTTTTGGATATAATAATAATTTATGGATACAAAATCTACTAATTAACCCATAACTGAGGAGGAGAATATGTGGATTCATCCTTTGCACATATTTGCATGTAATAAACCCAACTGGAATTGGACCTTGCTCTCTCCGATTTCCAATACAGAGCTGTTATTCATTAAATCAGTCACACATCCAAGCTTCCAGCAACTAATATTCCCAAGTGGTTACCCATCAAGGTAGTGACCAGGTTCAACATTGCTTAACTTTGAGGATCGTATGAGAACTTATGTTTCAACTCCTGCATATGGAGAGAAAATGAATTCAATAAATATACATAAATAGAAAGGGGTGTAAGACAAGGATCTGTTTTCTCACTGGACTTATTGAACCTATGCACTAAGGCAATTATATAGAATTAGAAATCCTACCATGATTCATTGTTGTGGTCACAATCTTAGCAACATAAAACATGCAGATGACACAGTATTGATAGCAAGCATAGAAAAGAAACTATAGGAACTATTAAAGGAACTACTATAGAATGTATTGAAGGAAATCAAGAAGAAAGGACTAAACATAAATTACAAAAACATAAAATGCATCAATGTCAGCCAAAGGAACTGTTTAACATGCAAATTACAAATTGGAGATATCAAATTCAAAATGGTTAAAAATTGAAATATCTTGGAAGTGTGGAGAGTGTGACACAGAAATTTGAAGGCAAAGGAAATAGTACTGAACTGTTACATAATATCAATTGTTCTATACTTTTTTTTTTTTTTTTTTAAGCATTTCACCCCAAGCAAGGCAAGAAGCCACTAAGACGCAAGGGGTTACAGAAGATTTGGAGCAAGATCAGATAGGAGTGATAGAGGAAAGGATGAGGAGAAGGATAGCGGATAGATCAAGACAACTGGAGATGTCAATTGACATTACATTTGAATAGTTGGGAGATTATAGCTCTCAGGGAAACTGGAATAGGGAAGGGAGTTCCACAGGCGAGAGGTGCGAGACATGAAGCTATTGGAGTAGAATGCCAGAACAGGGCATTATATTGCATATCCGCCTCTGGAACTTATCAAGAACCCCCAGGCAAACCGAAGGGGCTTCAGACCATATATGGCATCAATACTCCATGCAAGGACGAATTGTTGATTTGTAGATCTGGAGGATCGATTCTGGGGAGAAAAATTTCCTGGCGCGGCACAGGGAGTCAACTTTCCTACGGTAGTGAATACTGGACAATGTCCTCATTGATGGAGAAGAGACTTGAAGGAACAGAAATGTGGTTCTACAGAATGATACTGAGCATACAATTTGACTTAACATGTGAGCAATGACAAAGTTTTAGAGAAAATGGAAACAGAAAGAACACTTATACTTAACATGAAAAAGAGACTATTGAAGTTTCTAGGGCTCAGAAAGAGGACTTAGAAAATTTGATACTCACAGGACATATTGAAGGCAAGACTGATAGAGGAAAACAGTGCATAACCTACCTCATGAGCTTGGCAGAACAGGGATTAGGAGAGATAGCAAAAAAAAAAAAAAAACAACTTTAGTAAGAGCTACAAAGGAAAGGAAATTGTGGAGAGTCTTGACAGGAAATGGTATATTGAAGAAGAATATGACTGTGTATTAGATTAACATCAGATGCCTTCCAAAAGCTAAGTAAAGTATTATGAAAGAGAAAAATTTAATTAGAAACAAAGAAAAGGATACTGGATTGTTATATAATGAAAATCCTCTTATATACTGGACAATTTCCTCACAGATGAATAGAAGACTTCAGGTAACAGAGATGTGGTTCTACAGAAGGATGCTGAGAATAACATGAATGGTTCATATAAGCAATGAGTACATTTTACAGAAAATAGAAACAAAATGAAAACTTGGTATTAGAGAAAGTTGAAATTTCTAGGACAAAAACGAGGAAAGAAGGTCTGGAAAATTTGACACTCACAAGGCAGTGAAAGTAAAGAGCAGCAGAGGGAAACAGTGAGTAACCTACCTAACAAGCTTGTGTAAATTGATGACAGAACAAAGAATAGAAGGGATAGTAAAAAGACAAATATTGCTAAGAGTTACAAAGAATAGAAAGTTGTAGAGAGCTATGATTATACATGTCCTGAAGGGACATAGCAAATAGAAAAATAATAATGAATTTATCAAGAGTTTTTATTTTTTTTTTTTGGTAGTTATTTTATAAGAGTAACTATCCATTGCTTTCTCTTGGACTTTTTTTTATCAAACATGCTTCCCAAAAACTCCATAAGGTTTGTATATATAAATATATCTAACACAAATGCATATATCTACTCACCCCAACAAACATGGTTATAAGTGTAGAAAAGAATAGATTCAGTTAAATTTAAAGACATCTGAAATCACTATGATTCCAGTAAATATTTTATGTTCAAATACAGAATTCAGTTCAAGCTTAAAAAGAAAAAGGCTTCATACATACACATTCTCATATAGATATTTACTAAACTTAGTTTAATATATATTACTCAGTACGTATTATATACACTAACAATAGGTTGTGAGACAAACCTGATAACTATCACCCAATGGCAAATTTTCCTTTACATATAGCTTATGGTTAGTGGTCATAATTTTAAGATAGCAATCATCATAATGAGTTGCATTTGTGAACATTACTTGAGAGACGCTGATGCAGTCAACAGAATATTCCCATAGGGTTTAAACACGATGAAAGGATTTGACAAAAATGCTGGATACCTTACAGAAAATTCTTTTTAACCTACATTATGATCTACAGAAAACTTTCTGTCCAAATTTCCTGGAACATTAGCAAATATGAAGAAGACTGGATGCTACAATGGATGAAATATGACTTACAACATCCTAAATGAGGACACCTGTTCATACAAATCAGCATATAATAATTCTAGGGCAATTATACAGACACACCCATTTGTGCATTATGTGCAGCTCGTAATTGAGATATATATCACTCACTCAAGTCTCATAAACTCTAGTTAGGTGCAGTGGGGTTATAACTCTCAGTACACTAGACATTAGTGCTATCGTTTCTATAACAAATACATTTTTACAGGATAGAGTTGCAAGCCCCATGCTCAACTCATTTTAAATTCAGAGTTGTCCTTCTCCTAGGCTGCTTGCCAACCATGGTTGAAGAGCCCAGTCTGTCTTCCTATTTAACCTATAGCTGAGGAGGAGAGGAGAATGGATATCTTTCCTGGTTGCCATTTGCATGAAAGTAAATGTAATAAACTTTAATAAACTACTTTAATCTGAACTCAACTTGGCAATTTTGAATTCAAAACAAAATATATGACACACACACATGATTTGGATGCACAATTTATTGCATAATTTAAAAAATACAGTAAAAACCTAAAAAGGCAGACATTGTTAACTTGAATTTAAAACTTGGTCAAATGAATTCCTGCTAACTAAATATACTCTATGTATGTGTATCATTTGTACAGTTTTTACACACTATGTCCAGTAAAGAAAATACTTGTACAAATGCAAGAAAACTTTAATAAAATCACAATGCTTGTCAGTCATCTTCAATGAAACTTGTATAAAAGAGGATTGCTGCCAAAATACACACCTACTAAATTATATATATATATATATATATATATATATATATATATATATATATATATATATATATATATATATATTCTCCCTTATGGAGGGCAAATATTTTCTATGAAAATTTCTTGGATATTCAGACTGGTAAATGTTGTTTAATACTGTTTATTATAAACAGAGCATTGCATTTACTTAAATATTTGTATCTATAAAAAGAATGTATAAACATAAAATGTCTTAAAATAATTGTCGGACTTTGTCCATTTCATAATGTGTGACGTCATTTGTTTATATTTGATACGCCATGAGCAGATATGAATGTGTGTGAGAGAATCATGGATGATTGAAGTTTAAAAGCAGTAAATTCGACCTTGCTAACCAATCGATCCTCTGTGGCCGAATCGGTTAAAAGGCACATCAGGCTATATGACGGTTCCGTATAGAATCCTGTCGAAGGACAAATATTTTCTATGAAAATTTCTTGGACATTCAGGCTGGTAAATGTTGTTTAATACTGTTTATTATAAACAGAGCATTTACTAAAATATTTGTGTCTATAAAAAGAATGTATAAACATAAAATGTCTTAAAATAATTGTCGGACTGTGTCCATTTCATAATTAAGTGTTATACTTGCCCAGCCTTGCTGCAGGCGACAAAGCCACACTGACAGATGAAATTTGTTAAAGCAGAATTTTGATGGTGCTTGACAAAGCTGATCATGGTGCTTCAGTCTCCTGTCTTCAAAACCCAAATTCTAATAACCCCA